GGAAAGTGTCCCTGATAATATCAGGTGGCTCAGTCAAAGGTTGCTCTAAACTAGCCTGGGTCTAGAGGAACTCATTTGCTAACAGACAGGGTTGCTATAGTATAGCTATGATGGGTGGAGATGGTTGGTGTTAAATCTAGGAATGAATGACCTGCTCAGGTATGGATCTCTGTGATGAACACAGTGAAGCCTGGAGCTCTAACTGCACCAACAACCAGCCCAGTCAGCCGACTGGTGTGGCAGCTGCTTTCCCAGTCAGAGAGCTGGGATCCAATCAGGATAACAACCCGTTTGTGCTTCCTGTGAAGAACAGCAGCACTTCTTAAGCCACTGAAATAACAGGTTTCAGGAGTTGATATTTAGAAAGGAAGGACCCTCAGTCTTCCTGCCGATGTCACATCCCTTCTGAACGCTCTGCTCCACAGCAAAACATTGAACCACGGCGTTTAAAAGCAGCTTCATCTGCCAGCAATAGACGCTGCAGCTGGCTGCAGACTGTGCTGCAGAGCTCAGCAAACAAGCAGCAGAGATTTATTTTTAAACCTGGGAATCTGCTCTGGAACCGGAATGCTAGCGGACTTTTAGGAGCTCCACCTGACAAGCTGCTGCAGCGCAAAAGCAATGCTTGCTGTCATGCAGTCAAAGCTTCAGATTTACTCCCAAAGCAAAAACTTTGAATGCAAAGCAGCACATGTGAGCACCTTTATTAGGAAACAATATCTCCTGACATTAGGAAGGAAGGAGCAACCAGAGACAGCTGAGGAGAACTGAAGCTCCACAGTCCTTATCCAGCTCTGCACAAGCTGTCTGTTCAGCTCCAGCTGGATTTACTGTCAACCACATGGTCCTCGCTCCCCTTAGGAACAAAGCAAACATTTGCTCAAGAATGAGAGGCGACCCAGATTTCCAGGCACTGTAATCAGATGCGGTGATCTTTGCATTCAAACGCTGCACTGAGGTCCAGTACAACCAGTCTGCATTAAACACCTGGATGAGGTCAGTCTGTACTGAGGCCAGGAAGGAGTTCAGAGGAGGAATCACAGCTTTTCCATAATGTGACTGATGAGGAGCAGCTTCGATATCAGCCCGTAGTTCTGCAGGAGCAGCTGCTTTAAGTAACTCTTTTTAAGCAGCAGTTTGATCGTTTTTGTTCGTATGGTTTGGAGGAAAACTCCCGACAGGAGACCAGTTTATTGTTTGAGGTAAATCAGATGATATTAGAGGCAGAGCTTTAAGGAAGGCTGACGGTAAAACATGGAGGCAGCAGGGAGAGCTTAGTACGTAACACTAGTGGCGTGACTATCGGTAAGCAGAGTATGCAGTTGCTTAGGGGCCCTCGACCTCTTAGGGGCCCCGTCACTGACACCTGGTTGGCCCCCTACAGGACTTGTCTTTGCAGATGTAATGGTGCGAAACATTCCTCTTAAACCCACCTGATACTACGATGACTGACTGGACCTTATTTACACCGATGGCAAAGCAAACAGCTGTACTTTTAATTACTATGTTAATAACTTTGCATAGTTCATTAGATGGTTGGTAAAAAATATACTCATATATGTTTCAAACTGCAATAAAGATCTTAAAAAAACAATGTATTTAGTTATTTTATTTTTTACACTACGACTTGGAATTATGGGTAATCCAGAGCGTAGATTAAAACCGTTACGTACAATGTGTTAGCGACGATGGATACCAAAAAGAGGAACTTTAGCTGATTTCCAGAAAAGAAAAAGGAAAGAAGAGCTGCGGGAAGAACGGGAAAAGAACGGACAATTGCGACCAGGAGATGAATGGAGAGAGCGTGGGTGAGGAGGGGGGCTGAGATTCATTTTACAGCAGAATATACTAAAGTATATCCATGTCTAGTGAAGCTGAAGAATGAGGAGATGATGAAGCGTAGATTATGGGGCACATTTCAGGCCATAGCGTAACACCAGACCAAATGTAGACCAAACAGACTAGCTGGAGACACCTTTGGCTCCAGGCTGGATATGGATGTACATAAGGAACTCTGACCTTTGACCCTGAACTCCAGAGTTTCTCCAACTGTCTTTGGCTTTTTGACTCTGCTTCTTTCTCTCCTGACTGCTGGAGATCTTCTCCACCTAGAAACAACCTCTACTTTAACTAGAGCGGCTGGATCCATGAGTCTGATATGACCGTCACCCAGCAGCTGGTCAGCAGTTAGAAGCAAAGTGGAGGAAGAGGAGTAGATCTGGTTGAAGACGCCTCTGTGACGAACAGACTCATTGGAAACAAAATAACAGCAAAGTGTTCAGAGAGGAAGACATCAGTTACAGACGCTTTAGAAATGTTCTGGCCCTCAGGGAAGGTCAAGCTCTGGAAGCTCTGTGCTGTTTGCCGTTTAACATGAGAGTATCAATGGTTCTACTGGATCTCTTTGTTCAGGGTTATCAATGCCATAACCCTCAATAACTAAACAGCCATAATTAACACAAATCACCCATAAAAGGTTCCATAAATCCCAGGAGAGACAAATGTTCAACCTGTCTACAGATACTGAAAAATAGAGTTTGGAAAAGTTGACTCTAATTAGATTCATTTCACAATGTCCGAATGAATGTCATGGCTTGTGTCATAACGTGTTCAATAGAGTCAGACTTACTAAGCGGAACTCCTTGGTTTCTGTGGAATTGGGCAGGTAGGCCTGTTTTCATCTTGTTGGTGCGGAGCTGAGAAAGGGGTTTGGGGTGTCTGGGTATGAGGGGGGGTGTAGAGTGCTCCATCAGGTGGGAGTAAAGAGGGTTTCCTTCACTTCCACCTGATTGATTGAGTTTCTCAGAGCTTCCGGTGAGTTCTTGGCCGCCTCTGGGTTTATTACCAAGGTTTCTGGCTGAGTCTGCAATGACAGGCAGGATTGAGATATATCCGTACCCCATATTAACCTCCACATTCACTTGTCTGCCTCAGTTTGGGATCACAGACAGATAATACCCGTCACATTTACTTCTAGTTGTTGGAATTTCATGTCCAAGATGTTCTGTAGAAGACAGTCAGTCCATCTTTTGCTGATAGCTGCCGTTGATTCGTCCTTTTTACAGGTTCTAGTCCCCTAAAACATAATTAAGATAATAACAATCATTCAAGGATGTCTCTGGAATGATGTAGTTTCAGTTAAACTTTTCCATAGTTTTGCCAAGAGATAAAAAGTTCAAAGGAAGGGAATGCGAGCAGGGAGCTGGGCAGAAAAGCCTCGTTGTCTGCTTCAGGAGGAGTCCCACTAGAGAGTCCCACTCTCTCACTAGTGTTTTTCACCCCCGCTCCTCCTTAAACTAATAGCAGTGATCTGAGGAAGCCTGGGTGGAGCCGTCGGCTGATTGTGCTTGGTGGTGAGTTCACGGTGGGCTTTGATCCAGCTGCTCTCCTGGGAGGCCCTCAGGGCTCCAAGGCACCCCTCCTCTGTTTCTTCATCTCAGTGACGGCCTCATAATGAGGTTTGCACACTCGGCTCCACCACATCAGATCCTTACAGGCCAAGGAGGAACGCCTCCCCATCTGTAAATAAGCCACGCCCTTCCTTTGACCTCACCCAGGTTTCAAACACATGGATTATTGGTTCTGACCTTGTTCTCGAACTTGCTTCCACTCTCCATCCGTGCTGGTTTAGGTCTTGTGATATTTGGCCAACAATAGTTCCTTAGAGACAGAGAAAAGGCTTTGAGACATCAGGTTGTTCTTTCTGCTGTTCCTGCTCTCCTTTTGCTGATAAGAAACCAGCAGGTTGGTCACATGGTGAGAGCCACAGTAGCAAACTGGGCCCTTCTATAACTCCTGATCATCCTTTACATATTTTGGTAACATTTTGGTATTTTTCCACTGAGCAGCTTTAGATTTAAGGCATCCTTTAGGGAGGATTTGTTTATTTGTCTCACTTTGGTCTCTTCAGGAAATCTTCCCCTTCTCAGGATAAATAAAAACTCCTGGTTAGGTGACGGGACAACCTAACCCAGGGAGTCACTGTGGAGATAACTGGACTGAAGGAAACCTCCACCTCAGTCTCTGGTCTGCTTCAGGGAAGGTCTGGATTTAGCTCGATACAGCCTCCCCATCCCCCAGCACGATGCTCCCAACACCAACATGTTCATGTAGGCAAAGGTTCTCCTGGGCCAGCCTGTCAGCAGGACCACAACATGGCCGACTCATGAACATGCAGAGCTGTTTAGAGTCATGGTTAAAACATGGTAATACAGACAACCTGTTCATGGTCCAAAAAAGATACAGAAGTTACAGAAACAAAGTTCACCTCCAGTTACAGAAGGTCTACCTCCAACTGTTGAGCTCTCATTTCCAACCAGGCTGTAGTTCTTGGAGGTTTCTGGCAGGCTTTCTGAAGGTTCCACCATTTCTGGACTTTGACTGGGCCGTTTGGAGCAACTGGCTTCACTGAAACAGGCCGAGCTGTTAGACAGAGAGCCTGAAGTTTGGCTCTGAAAGCTTTGGAGGCGTTCAGAGGGACTCCAGAGCGCCTGAATCCTGCAGAGCGGCAACACTGCAGTTCTTTGAGCTGATGGTCGACCAGTTTTTACCATGTCAGTTTATTTAGAGCTGAGATTAGTACTGTAAACCTGTGGCCTGCCCTCACCGCTCCGTTCCACATGTCTGCCTTTCCTCAGAGCGCTGCCTCCTTCACTGAGTGATGAGGAAGGGAAGCAGCCTGCTGTGTTAGAAGGTGTGACCTCTGCGTCCTGATTGTCCAGCTCCAGTGTTATTAATGTGTTAGTGCTGATGATCACACAGCCCACCAGAGGGAGACAAAGCTCCTCTCTGATCTAGTTGGAGAAGTTGTGCCAGAGGAGAAACCTTCATCCTGGAATGAAGACACCTAGCATGCTGATATATGGGATGTTTCTCTCTGTGTGACACGGAGGAGGACCTGTGCTTAATGCTGAACCGCGTGTCTTCTGCTCAGACTTTTCTACGTTTGTCTGGACTAGCTTCAGGTTTGGTACTGGTTTCAATGTTTGAAGCCTTATCAAACTTTCCAAACCTCTACAGCTGTCCCATCATACATCCTGTGCTTTTATATGCATAGCAGATGTGCTTAGTTTATTTAGATAATTATTTGTTACCGAGTCCCTGCGGCTGCAGCCAGCTTTCAGCTGGCCGAGCAGTCAACACATCAGCTGTTCTATTCTACACATCTGCCTCTCACTGCAGATGTGTAGAATAGAACATCATCTGGTAAAGCTAACAGTCCTCAAAGCTTCTGGGTGTCCATGCATGCTGCTTCATTTGTTAGAGCATTGGTCCAGATCATGAGGAAGATGAACACAGATGGAGCATATCAGGGGACAGAACAACGTCAGCCCTGATTAACATTAAAGTGTAAAGGGATTGAACCACCAGAGGCCATGGAAAGCTTTTAGTTTGCCTGGAGATGGAAAGAAGATGACAGCAACCTATGATGAACTCAGTTCAAGATCTGGACATCATTGGATCCATCCTTAGTCGGAATATGGGGGGAAGCAAGATATCTGTGCATCAGAGCAGGCACTGTGCCACTTCTGCCATGAGCAGGCTCACTTTAAGCTGCTGTTGTCATGGTTACCCATCTCCACACATCCCCTGTCCGCACACTCTGTGTGCATGCCAATAGGGAAGAAGACAGGAAAGCAAACAAGGAATGAGAAATAAAAACAGAGAAAAGGAAGGGAGAAAGGGCCTGTCAGAGCGAATCATCCCTCATTTCAGCTCCTCATTGGGGCTTCCACCCAGCATCCCTCATCACATCACACCACCGCTAATATGAACGCACCAACACGAACGCACCAACACAACGCACCAACACAACGTGCACCGACACAACGTGCACCGACAATACATGCACCAAAGCTGCACACACTGACAATGCATTCACCGACGTGACAAACACCAACGCGACACGCACTGACACAAGATGCACCGACACAAGATGCACCGGCACGACACGCATCGGCACGTTGACATGGTTAACTCTTAACATCCACCTCATTTGGGATAATCCTCGCCTATTTTATACCCAGATGGAAAAGCAAATAACTTAGGAACTGTAAGCCCAAATTATGTGTGCAATACATTATTTGAAAGCTGTAACCCTCTAGTGTAGACAAATTGGGTGACTAGAAAACAGACTAAGCTGCATCAGTTCAAACATGACTCAATGTTGTTGTTTTTTATTCTCGGAAATGATAAATCTTTTTTGAACAGCAGTGATAAAGACATTCTTGAGAAAAAGCAGGATTTATTGTATTTGTTCTACGTCATGTCAACCACAAATGCAGAAAAGTTCAGCCCTCTAGCTATAACAGTTCCAGAGCTGTGGGGTTTGGAACTTTTAGTGTCAGCTTGGAGCTGTGCGCAATGGCTCCACCTGCTGGTGAAAATTTTACCGTTGGAATTTTATGCATTCTGAATTATTACAACCCAACTTATCCATCTTAACCACTTTTAAGAGGTTAAGATGGGTTGTGAGTTTGAAACCAAGGTTTATCTGGAAGAATTTGGGAAATGATCAAATTATATTTTCACTAATTTTAAAGTAATTGGAATGTGTTCAGACCAATTCACAATGCAAATCCATGAGGTGAATAAAACATTATTTGGAAAAATAATGTTTTATTAAATGATTTGCTTAATCAGGAACCAATAACCTTTAGTCAAATGATTCTTTACCCTCTTTGAAATAGCTAGCAGCAAATAGACATCAGGATTCCACTAAATGACTCTTGGTCAGACTTGCTAATGGAAATGTAATGAGCATCTGAGGAACACATGAACACTAATGTTACATATGTGTTTAACTCTTAATGAATAAAGCTTGCCAAAGCTTCAAAAATAGCTCACAACATATTCCTGTAGCATAGTGTAGCATGCAGTCCATTCATTAGCTTGTCTTTACTCAGCAGTAAACACATGTTGTTTGTTCTGTCCCTAATCATGCCAGACCTGCGAACCTTTTTCCATGTCCATTGGAAAGCTTGAGTTTCATCCAGCTGCAGCTCAGCAGTCAGGGTAGGCTCTATTTTGTCTCAGTCTCAAACCCAGGGCATGGTCCTCATCCAGTTTGGCTCTATAAGTTCTGAAACTCAAGAGAAATGTGTTGCAAAAGGTCTGTTTTGCAGCAGTTTAGTTCTGAAAGGTTCTGACTTATCCTTGATGGTTCTGTAGATCTGGGTCTTTCCGCTCCGACAGGATCTCCATCTTGCTGGAGATGGACCCCAGCTTCATGAGCAAGGGAGAGGAGGAAAATGAGCACAGGAGGCAAAGAGAGAATGAATTTTGTGTGCTCTGTGATTTCGTCTGTCCTCACACAGAGGGGGGTGGTTTATCACACCTCTGTGATTTGCTATGTGACCTGCCTGTGGAGGCCTTGGCTGAAAAGCGGATAGGGGAGGGGATTGGGGGGGTTGCAGAGATCCCACATCATCATGTCGATATGAAATATGGACACTGGTTCCCAATGACCAAAAAGTATAATCATGGCATATGACACAACAAGACGCACCGACACGACACGCACTGACACGACATGCACCAACATGGCATGGACCGACATGACAGGCACCTACACGACATGTAATGACCCGACACGCACCAACACGAAATGCACCGACACCACACGCACTGACATGACAAGGGCCGACACACACCGACAAACTGTTTATTCAAAGAAGGGTAAAGTAAATCTGGGATGTGATTCAAGCTGACATTCAGCTGCTTAAAAGCTCATGACTTATGCAATAACCCACCCTGCACACACACACAGAGGCAAATAGAAATCCCATCGTTGATGCAGTCTCTAGGTTAAAGAACAGGACACAGCATCGGTCTGGCGTAAAACCACCATATCTCCTCTGGGAACATGTTGAAGCGCCGTAGGCACAGAAGAGAAGGAAAGCAGCAGAGACCGGTCAAAGGTCAAAGGTCATCTTTTTAGTTCAATTCATGTTCCACATTAGGGAGAAGAGTTGAGAGAATTCAGGTCAGATCAGCTTAGAGGGCTTAAATGAGCAGGATAGCTGAATATCATCAACAAAACGACGAGAATCACCCAATAACTGCTGAATTATCCAAAGATTCAACACATTAGCCGATATTCACCTCCTTCTTGGTCTGTAGAATGAACAACAGACATGAAACAACCTAGCTTCCAGGCCAGATCCTCAGTCTGAATGCCTGACAGGCAGACCGTTGCTGTTGGATCTATGTTCTGAACTGGGTCCAGTATGACAGCGACCGGCCCCCCCAGACCCACACCATCCCTGTTCATCACAGCTGTTAAACTCTCGTTCCTGTTGGCGTTTTGCTGCATTAAACAGCTGCTTCTGTCGCACCTTTCTGGTTCACTGATTGGGTTTACTGTGACGATAGTGAACTCCAGCTTTAGGTCGGACTCTGTGTGGTTAGGGTTAGATGGATGTCTGTGTTCCATGGGAGACCTCCTGCTATTAGGATGTGCTGCTTTTAGCTGTGATCCACATCGTTTTCACCAGAAAGCATCAACAAAACAGAACAATCCAGAAACACACTGGACTCATTTTTAATAACTTTGGCTTGAATGAAAACTTCTCATTTATTCCCCAGAGAAGGTGATACAGTTAGGAAGCCAGAATCAACAGAAACATGTGACTGAAATGCCTTTTAGCGGCACGCAGAGGCAGCGCTGCCCCCCAGTGGCCACTTCCTGCTCATCTGCTCTACGTCGACACGTCTGTGTGACGATGGAGGTGCAGAAGTGGCGCAGGCAGACCAGGAGAGGGAGGCAGGGCTGTTCAGCAGCACTCAGCCGTCCTCCATGTCCTGCTCTTGTGGTGAGGTGCCCATAAAGCTGTGGACTTTATTGCTTCTGTCTGTCTGAAGAGGCACAGCTCTGTCCATTCTCCCACGGCGCCGTACGCTGAGAGCTTTCCTTTGGCATGGCAGGATGTGAGGAAGAGGAGTGGCTGCCAGGACGTCTCAGAGCTGCTCTGGTGGAGCTTCATCTGCTCGACTCAGACGAGTCGTTTTCTGAGCCGTCATCTTCCCTCCGCTGTCAGAGTGTGGACAGAATAGTGATTTAGAGGAGAGAAGATAACAGCTGCTCCTCCAAGACGCTGTGGCAGCCGGAGCATCTCCAGGTACAGTTCACACCAGTGTTCCCAGTCTGGATGTTGGCTTTGGTTGGTAGAGCTTTGCAGGCATAGACCATGTAGACCACCAAGCATACCTGGAGCGACAGTAGAGAGGAAAACTCCCTTTGAACAGGAAGAAACCTCCAGCAGAACCAGGCTCAGTGTGAGCGGCCATCTGCTGAGGCAGACTGGGGTTCAAGGAGACAGAAGCAGACATGTTAGCCCGGCTGTTCGTCTAGATGTTAGCCCGGCTGTTAGCCTAGATGTTAGCCCGGCTGTTAGCCTAGATGGTAGTCCGGCTGTTAGCCTAGATGGTAGCCCGGCTGTTAGCCTACATGGTAGCCCGGCTGTTAGCCTAGATGTTAGTCAGGCTGTTAGCTTAGATGTTAGCCCGGCTGTTAGTCTGGATGCTAGCCTGGCTGTTAGCCCGGCTTTTACCCTAGACATTAGCCTGGATGTTAGCCCAGCTGTTAGTCTGGATGCTAGCCAGGCTGTTAGTCTGGATGCTAGCCAGGCTGTTAG